TCCGTTGTTTGCCTTGTTTGATTATTATGTTTATTTGTCTCTGTTCCTGTTGAATCAGTGTATATATTTTTTACAGTTTAACTAACTCCTATAACCATTCAAAAGAACAACAGTGGTGTATTTATGGAGCCTTTATATTCAATATTAGATGGTTTTGACATTTGGTTATCCATGGCTGGTTCATACTACTTTTGATAATTTTTCATTTCGTTTCTGAGATGAGGACTTGCCACTGTACTATAATTCTTTCAAACTATTGTTCTCATCCTGATTGTTATAGATATTATTATAGACGTAACATCGTTGTGGATATGCATGTGGTGTAATGTATAGTAGCTCAAAAAGAGAAATCTGAGAGCCGATGTTTGAATTCCAGTCAAGTTTGTTATATTCACTTGTGCACAAATACCTTTGGGAAAAGTATGAGTCCATCTCTCCCCTCATAGTAGACTGGGCTCTTCAATCTTGGTTGGCAGCCAGTCTAGGAGGAGGAATTCAATGTATGTAGCTCTGGTGAAGCACATATTTTATGCAACTAATGAAAGGATCATGGATCTATGATCCCGACTGTAGTTGACCATAGATATAGACATAACTTTTTGGCCAGGCACCCTGTTGTCATCTTCAGAAATTATTTTACTTCATTGAAAAACAACTAAGAATGTAATTACTGCAAGGAGTAAATGACAAAGTAAACCTTATGAAGCGTGAGTGATTTATTGTGGATACTGTGTGAAACTGATCCAAGTAATCGCTTTCCCAATTAACAGTCTCTCCATGAAAGCAATACCACATTCACGAACCTATTGACCATTCTCTCTCACATGGTGTTTTTTATGCCGAGTTGATCTCACAAAAAATTTGCATATGCCCAACTACCCTCGCCTAGCTCTGAGACTGTCTTTCTTAAATTAAGGTATGGGGGGGGGCATATTTCTTTTTCCTTTCTTTCAATCATTTTTAAACGCAAGGCACATACATATTTGCTTTGCCACACGAGGTAAGTCATCTCTTCCACAGATATGTAAGTGATTTGTTTAAGAAGTTTTTTAAAGAGGACATCCCACATTTGGGTTATTACTTTTTCTTAACATATTTGTTATCAAATAAGGACATCAGATTTCATCAAATTGACTCAGGAAATATGTGTCATGCTTATTACCTTCATAAAAGAATTTATTTTCATAATATTAACAAAGGAAATGAAAGTTCATCTGGCAATATATTTTGACTAAACTAGGCAAAATGTTTTGTGCTCAGTGTTGAAATATGTAATGGCTCGCTGGGATATAGGTAAAGAATGTACTTTGTTCAAGAATGCGTATTTATAAGTATTGATGTTAATGGGATGTCTACTCAGCAGCTGTAGTTAGTCACCCTACAAGGTGCCGTCACTTAACAGGCATCACATGACTTTCATGAACTTGTTCTACGAAAAGAGATATAATCACCTTGTGCATCCCTATAATGTAAATATGTTGTTATTTTGTCACAACAAAATTTTGTATGTTCCTGTATCTTTTTTTTTTTTTTTTTTTTTAAAGCATGTCACCTCAGGCAAAGCAGGAGTGCCACTAGCACGCAAGGGGTTGCTGAGAGTAAGATTAAAAAGGGGTGTTTGAGGAAAAGATATAGAGAAAGACATGAATCAGGATTAAGGCATCAAAATATGTCGATTGACATTACATTTGAATATTTGAAGATTATACCTATCAGGGAAGCAAGAGGAAGTGAGTTCCATTGATGGGAAGTGCGTGATAAGAAACTGTTGGAGAAGATGAGTTAGCTACATTTAACCATTTCAACAGTGAAAGGGTGGGACCGAGATGCCAATTAGTAGCATACTTAAATTCATGCAGTTTAGGTACCAGTGAAAGTAGCTTGTAAGAGCAAAGCATAGGTTGTGAAACTAACTGTAGCTTGTTGAATGAAGTCATTAGAGAGTTTATGTCTGAATTTCTCGGATGAAGAGTTATTATTTACACTATATACGTTTAAAATAAAATTTGTTCATCTTGGATGATTAGCAATTGAATACTGAAAATGTTTTGCTGAGTGTTGAAATCTTTATTTGTTCTTAGAGACTTTATTTTTTTTTTGCATCCAATCGTGTTTCTGTTCATTACTCACTGCACATTAGGTTAGTATTGTTTTTCTGACAAGTTTGACACAAGGAAAAATGACATTGATGACCATGGCTCTCCATAATTTCCTGTCCTTTGTAGCTCTTAATAAATTTTGCTTTTTTTGTTATTTCTCCTCAACCTTGTTCTCCCATCCATCTACTCAAGCTCACTAAGTAGATTATGCATTGTTTTCTTCTGTCCCTCTTGCCTTCAATCTGTCCTGAGAGTATCAGATTTTCAAAGCCTTCTTTCTTCATTATGTGCCCTAGAAATTTCAACTCTCTTCTTGATAAGTATAAGTTTCCTTTGTCTCTAAAACTATGCCATTGCTCACATGTTCAGTCTATGGTATCCTTCTGTAGAACCATCTTTCTGTTGCTTCAAGTCTCTTCTTCATTGAGATTTTCAAGCATTCATTGCATACAAGAGGACTGTAACAGTTCAGTATGCTTTTCTTTGATTCCAACGAAATTTTCCTGTTTCTTAATATGTTGCTTAGTTTTTGGAAGGTATCTTTTACTATCTTAATGTGCTTTTGGATTTCACTGATGCACTTTCCATCCTCTGTTTAAACATAACCCAGTTATTTAATTTTTTTGTTCTTGTTTGATTTTGGTTTTACAATTTATAATTTGTATGTTGGGCTGTTCCTTTGGCTAACAACCATGCTTTATATCTTCTTGCAATTGATACTTAGTCCTTTCTTCCTTCTTTCCTTTACTAACTTCTGTAGGAGTTCTTATAGTTTCCTTTATATGTTTTTCATCAACATTTTGTCATCTGTATATTTATGCTGTTAAGATTGTGGCCAATAATAATGAATTCTGGTAGGACTTTTAATTCTCTCAGTATCATCTCACTGTATAGGTTGAATAAGTCTAGTGAGAAAAATCATCCTTGTCTTAAAAACCCATTTTTATTTTTGTATATTTACTGACCTGTTGAATTTAAGACTTTGAATTACTGTCTTTTGATCGGTCATTTATACTTGTTTGATTGACATAAAGTGTTCTTATTTTTTGTTAATTGTGCGGGCCATTATTTTCTTACATTTTGAGGGATGAACTGACCACTACAATTCTACATTATGATGTTATGCTAAGATGAAGTCACATGATGGCCAATAAGTGACATGAGTCTCATTTACTCTTTAGTATGCATAGAGGCAAGACATGTCTGTCCATGCTAATTGCTGATGATAGACTAAGGCAGTAGGGAGCACAGAAGAGATCACATGCTATGTAGAAGTATAGAGAACTCAACACTGGCCTGACATGGCACCCAGGCAAGTATTCCAAGCAATGAAATAAATAAAATGGTGCGTAAATATGACATGAACATAAGACACACAAAAGGATTTTTCTTGAATATGATAACAAAACACAACAATTAACATAATGCATGAAAGATAATAACAAGTGAATGTACTTATATTCATGCTGTCTTTTTGTTAATTTCTTCCTTAACTAACCTTATTTTAACTTTGGATATAAAGTAATGTTATTTAGTTACATTATAGTTAATCAAGTATCTTCTGTTCATGCTCACTCACATGTTTGCTGTCAATTCTCTGGTTCAACTCCAAGTGGGAGTTTTTTCTTTTTCGTGAGTTCATGTAACAACTTTTTGGTGATAATGGGGTGCGAGGCAAAAAAGAATATTTCCAGTTTACATTTTCCTATTATAGACATTATATCAGTTATATAGTAAAACCTTAACACATTTACATGTATATAACTACTCGTCATTTATTCTTCCCCCACAGAGAATTTGTAACATCTGAATAAAACAAGCAGAGTGGGAAAGTCAAGAAATGAAAGGATCTTGTAATATTTCCCAAAGGTGAAATGGCCAGGTCAGGTGTGAGTTCTATGAACTTCAAGATATAATTTGGGCTCTTCTGTTCACCTTACCATTGTGGGTTTGAGATGACATCTAGTGTCTTAACAGTCTATTATGATGTGGACAGATATGTCTTGCCTCTATGCGTGCAAAATGGCAACTGAGATTTTGTCACCCGACAAACTTATGTCACATCATGAGATAATCACCCTTTTCATTTTTACAGTGGAAAACATGAGCCACTGCTGATAGTTCTGTATGCTTACAATATTAGCAAAATGTTTTTTGAGATTTATTTTTTATGATATATCTTTGGCTAAATTCATAAAAATATCTTTCCATTTAAGTAAGAATAATTTTTTTTTTTTTAATAGTTTAAAGAAAATTAACTCTTTTAAAAATGTATATCTTTTGGCAGGTAGTGTTATAAATAGTTCATATTTGAAGTAATTAACTCAAATCCCATTGTATCTAAATTTAGAGGCTTATGGCCACATCGTGTTGAAACAGTGGTTCTCGTACAATCACCAAAGTTAAGCAATGTTGAGTTTGATCAGTACCTAGATGGTTGACTGTTTGAGAATACCCGGTGCTAATGTGTGGGTGGGGTAATGGATAATGGTCTTAAATTGTTAAGCTGAGTACCAATTCTTATTGGGTTCGTTATATTTTCTTATACTTGGGAAGATGTGGATTCATACCTTTCCTAAGGTATGAATCCACCTTTTCTTCCCCCAGCTATGGCTTAATTAGTAAGACTTGTATCACTAAACTATTATCATCTAAAAAAAAAAAATCTTACCATCTAAAAATATTTTCTGGCTTTAAATAACCTGTAAAGGGTTGATAAGTCCTAAAAAGCAAATAAATCGATCAATCATTCTTGGAATCTGACGTATAATGAATTCACAACTCATTCAGTTTTCCACATATCTGTCCTTAAACCAGCTTTAGCATATATTAGTAAATACCTACAAACTTTAGCAATTTACCAGTTTTTCTTACTGATGTTTTGTCTTTTATGATTTCCAGGCTGGAACGATGTTGGTTGGCACAATCCATCCATGTTGACTCCAAACCTTGACCGTCTGGCCAGGAATGGTGTTAGGCTCAATTCCTCATATGTCCAGCCAATTTGTACGCCGTAAGTAATTTTCTGGTGCTGTCTTTATTTTTGATTTCATTTTTTTCTGTTTTGTAATGTTTTTTAAAAGAAAAAAAATCTTCTTGAATACTACAAAATTAATATTTCTTTCCTAAGGTAGATAAAAGAGGAAAAAAAAAAAACTGAATTAATTAGAACCATCATTTACTGTACTTGATGGCATGGAAAACTCAACCATCTTTTCCCTAAAAATGTCTCAAAAATATCTCTTTGGTCTTGGATACAAAGTTGAAGTATCTGATATTTGATGTTTATATAGACATTAACATTTAAACACTGGTTCCTGTACAATCACCGAAGTTAAGCAATCTCAAGCCTAGTCAGTATCTAGATAGGTAACTGCTTGAGAATACCAGGTACTGTAAGTTCTGATGTGCAGGTGGTATAATGGATAATGGCTCAGAATTGTTAATCGTAAAGCTGAGTTCCAATTCCAGTTGGGTTCGTTATATTCACTTACATGTAAATACCCTTTGAAAGTTATGTAGCCATCTCTTCTTTCTCTAGCTTTTAGTAAGACCTGTATCACTAAATCATTATTAATTAAAAAAAAAAAATTCTTACAAGCTAAAAATATTTTCTAGCTTTAAATAACTTTCAAAGGGTTGATAAGCCATAAAACACAAATCAATCAATAAAACTTAACCCATATTGTAATATTAAATGTAGATGTTAATATTAGCCGTTTCCTTATAAGGAAACATTTGGCATTCATTGACCGAGTAACCAATACTACTTTCAGTTGAAATAAAAAATATTTCTATTAAATCAATTTTTCAGAAAAATAGGTTTCTCAAATCCAGTAACTGTTACTGCTCTTTCCAGTATTGATGGGGTATGCGGGGGTGGATGTCTTACTTTCAAATTTTTGTTTGAAAAATAGTGTGAAACTTCAGCATTTTGATGATATCACTATTTTCTCTTCAAGTTACATGTGCTATCCATTTTAACTGTTACCATTGTTGCAACTTTTTAAGTGATGTGGCTTCTGTTATTTCGTACAGGCCTTTGTGATTCTGTAGCAGCAGTCCACAATTTTTGACAGAAAGATGGTCCTTCATAAAGCTTCATTCGCTCAAAGATATTTTTAATTCTTGATCCATGAAAGCGGTTGAATACAACTGACAGTTTAGATATTTCAGCATCAGTTTGGCATCATACATGACATTCATATAAAAGTCTTGATCTGACAAGGCTATTTAAGAACATTGCTTGAATTCTTAAATGCCATCAAATATATATATATATATATATATATATATTCTGTAATCCTGACTAAGGGAAGTTAAAAAATAAAAAAGTTCCCCTTTCTCAACAGTTTTTTTCTTTTTTTATTAATGATGTTTTTCATATAAACTGAAATCTTGTTAATTACATTGTGCAAAAATTGGTTGAATGCACACACAGGAAAAGAAACGGGGGTGGGGGTGAGAGGAAGGTAGTATGAATCCAATAGGTTCACTAGGCAAAACAAATTCACACTTCTCTCTTTGTCTCGATCTTCAATATGCCACTCCCCGTCAGAAGCGAAAAGCAAACTACCGTTGAATGAGCATACCATGCTTTTATGAACCTGACCCAGCCAATAAGTTCCCAGAACCAACCAATAAAAATGACTACAAGTGACACCACCACTTCCATCAGCATGAAGTGCTGCCCAATTCACCATCCATCCAAAGCTCATCGATTCACTGTCTCCACATTCCCTTGCAAAACATACACGTGACTCTGACCCTTTTGGGTTGCTACATACACTTTATTCAATTTTTAATGAATTGAACTGTAACAGATTCATATACAAGTTTTAAGCAAAAGCCGTAACTTCTAAAATGTTTATTAGCTGCATTATGTCATGGTATTTATTTTCTCAACAAATTGCTCTTCCTAGGGATACTGAGGATGAATTTTGATTGATTTTTTTTTTATGGCTTATCAACCTTTTTCAGATTATTTTAATGCCAGAAAAATAATTTTAGATTGTAAAAATTTTGGGGACATATTAATGATTTTACTGATAGAACTCCCACTAATTAACCCATAGTTGTAGGGAGAAGAAGTGGATTCATACCCTTTCCCAAGGGTATTTTTACATGTGAATATCACAAACCTGACTGGAATTGGAATTTATCTCTCCGATTTCCAACTCCAAGCCATTACCCATTACACCACCTGCACATCCAAGCTGGAATTATGAAATGATCACCAATGTACTGATCAGATTCACCATTGCTTAATTTTGGTGATTGTGCAAGAACCTGTATTTCAACATGATATGGCCAGAAGCCACTGAGGTTTGAAACCCAAATCAATCTCCAACAAATAAAGTAAACCCTTTATAAGACTGTGGCGGACGAGACAGAACCTGGGACGAGCACAACTGGTCGCAACTTGCCTTGTCCCCGCCAAAAAAGAGCCCGTATTTGCTTAGCATGTAAAGCTACTGCAGTTGAAATGAGGGAGAAAAAAGCACTTACCGCTCTGCCGTAATCCGTCCTCGGCCAGATAACGTAAAAGAATGAGGGGGGGGATTTGCATTGCATTTTTATGCAATAAAGATGCCATACATTATGGGACATGGACGCAATGAATTATGGGATCACATGAAGACGCAAGGGGTTATGGGTATATGGACAAATATAAAAGCAACTACTTTTTCCCAGTGGGGGGGGGTCTTGGAGTGACGTTCACGGTTGGCGGCTAGAATAGTCTGTTAGTGCGATTTTGAGACAGAACTCAAGAAGGAACGACTCGAGGTTGAAATACCAGTTGGGAGAGCTTGAATTTACTCGCTGGTTGCTGTTTTCTTTATTTGCCACAAAGACTTAATAACAAAATAATAATAAACTAAAACTTGAACAATTTACTCTACCACCAGTAATAATTGCCACAAGGAATACATAGGAGAAACCTCAAGGAATTTAAATAAAATATTATATGAACACAAAAAGGATCTTTTACAAAACAATACACAATGCATTAGTTACTCAGCATAATGAGTCTGATCATTTGATTTAAAAAAATTTTACTTTAAATTTTTTTTTTTTTTTTAAATCATTTCACACCAAGCAAGGCTATAATATCACTAGGCCGCAGAGGGTTATGGTGAAAGAGAATGAGAAAACATTAGTGAGGAAAAGGGGCAACAAAGGAACAGGATTCAGGAAGACAAAAGATGACAATTGGCATTGCATTTAATTTTGTGAAGATTGTTAATGGCAAAGAAGCAAGAAATTGGAAGAGATTTCAACAGGTGAGAAAAGCAAGAAAAGAAATTATTAGAATAGAACATACAGTTGCATCTAGTTAGTTCAACAGTAAAATGGTTGAGACCTAACTGCCAATCTAGTAGCACACTTAAATTAATGCAGTCAAGGCACTAAGGAGAACAGCTCATTAAAACAATTGCCATGAAAATATTTGCAAAAAAGACAGAGGGAATCCATGTCATGACAGTAAGAATGTGACTGAAGTTGAGAGGCCAGGTCAGGATTGATTACATTGAGAAAACAATTTAGTAAGATGAAAATGTATAGAAAGTGCTTTAATTGCTAGATCATCTAAAGAAAATTTGCATCCAGGTTCTTACAAAATTTATACCTTGGTAGATCTTCTATTATCACAATATGGGATATGTAAAAATAAAAGTGATAAAAACATAAATAAAAAGAAACTAAATGAAATTGACTAGACTATATATCGAAATAGATATTTAAAAAAATAAATTAAAAACTTTAAATTAAAAATTCAGCATCTACTCTGTTTAAAGTACATGTGTAATCGCATCTTTCATATTATAAAACGCAGGTTGTGTGTGTGTGTGTGTGTCTGTAACGTTTATATCTTGCATCGAATTTCCTACATTTTTTAGCCGATTTCAACAAAACTTCACAGGACTACATAAAATTACCTTGTGGTGGTTCTAACGGGGCCGAAAATGGGAAAAATACAGTTGTTTTTTTTAATAAAATCAATTTGAAAACACGATTAAGACACATCGTGAGAATGATAGGGGAGAACTCACCCACGAAAATGTAAACAAAAGAGCATAGCATGATGAAAAAATCACGAACTTGATGAAAACAAAATTTTATTGTCTAATGTTCATATTATTATTAAAGAGGAAAAGATCAAAGTATTTTTGGGGATTTTTTACATTTTTTAATCGTTCCTAGCACGTCTGAAATTTTCGTTAAAAATATTGTTTTTTTTTTTCAAAAAAAGGGCAGATAATCATTTTCAATCATTTTTTTCGATTTGATAAAAAAAGATTAAAATCTTACTTTGATATTCTTTTTAAAAGTCAATTATCATTTTTTCAAAACTGATTTTAATAAAAACAGATATTATACTGTTTATTTAAAATATTTTGAACCAAGCTTAACTTAGCTTCTCCACCGAAAAAATGTAATTTGAAAATAAAACAAAGCAGGTCATAACCTTTCGTGTCGCTTGACGATTGACGAAAGGCACATTCATGACGTTTAGATAACTTACGAGAGGAGAATTCTTTCTACGGATGGAAGGAAGTGAAATTATTTAAGTGAACAAATTATTTACCTTGTTACTTTTAAGGAAAACTTTCAGCGCTCTAATTTTTTTTTTTTTTTTTTGTACTTAGCTTTCATTTTTACGTTTACGATGCTTTATGGAAAATATAAAGAAATTAAAAAATAAGACTGTTAATAGTCAGATTAAATTTCATAAGAAAAAGTTATCTAATTAATTTAGGTAACTTTCTTATGAAATTTTATCAGAAGTGTACATAAAATACTATAATTTTATGTACATTTATTACATATGTTATTTGTATTTCCATTCATTTTATGATTAATTTTGATATTTCATTTATGGAAAAATGTCATAACTGAGATTAATATAAAAATAAGATCATATAAATTAAAGTTTAGCAGTAGTTAAATTTCATAAGATGATACTGTTACTTGTAGGTACCCTTCTCAGTTGAAATTGAAAACTCAAATTAACTTCTCCATACGTGTTTCATAAAAAAAGTAAAGGGCTTAACAGCGGAGAACAATGCTGAACTCAAATAATGCAACTAAATTGTATTCTGGTTGGTCTTCCATACTTGATATTTACTGTCCGACTATAAACACAAAAATTACATTTCTTAATTACCATGGCTAATCTGATTGGTCCAAATTATACAATTTTCAAAACGCTAGACAATGACAATCTCACATGGACATTTTGAAAGGTTGATGTTGCTTTTAACTAATGTTAAAATATTTTTAAAATTCAATTTAAACATTTTTTTAAAATCTTAAAATTAAAGAAATAAGAAATAATTGTATTAAAATTCAATTTTCATTGAAAAATTTTTTGCTTTCAGAAAATATTGTCCATATTCATAAAAAACAAATTAAAACAAATAAAAGCATTTGAAACTAAATAATATATTTGTTTTATTGAGTTTTGTATGTTACAATTCACAGCTGATTTTCAGGTACGTTGGCCAAAAAACAAAACAAAAACAAAACATGATTTGCATTCTTCAAAGCCTTGTGATTTTAACTATTGTAATCACTAAAACCGATGGTCTCGAATTTCTAGAGTTTTTCAAAAATTAGTTATGGGGGTGTTAATAAATATAAAAAAAAATATTTCTGCCATGACTTTAATAAAAAAAAAAAATATTTATAATAATTTCGATCATCTGTGAATAGTTTCTGAAAGTTTCATTAACATCTGACAATTATTTTTATTTTTGCAAGATTTTCCAAATTAATGTGTAAATACAAAAAATGTGCTAAAATTATCTATGTTATTTACTACCCCTTGTTGCGACAAAGAGAAACAAGGTTTTTAAATCAAAATTTAGAATATTCTAAAAAGATGGAAAAATTTTTAAAAATAATTAAAAAAAATTTAGTCTATCCTCTTCATAACAAAATAAGCATTTTGACGATAAAATTTTGTTTTCATAAACTTTGGCGTCTTTTTCATCAGACTATGCTCTGTTTTAGCGATTCCGTGGAGTGACTTAGGTTAAAAAACCCAGGTTGTTTATGTGTGTGTGTGTTCCTTTATATATGGGATCGGATTTCTTACATTTTTCAGCTGATAAAACAAACATCCACTTTTTTTTTTTTCAGGTAGTAGTATTCTTATTGTCTTGCACACTTTTTTCTTTATTTACATTCAGAATGCTTTAAAAATTCCATTTACAAGACAATTGTTTATAATAAAATTCTATTCACCAATCGGTAGACTCATAACGATTGTAAACAATGTTTTGTTTGAATTTGGGTTTGACCAATTCAAAAAAAAAAAAAAAAAACTAATTAAGACATGCGTGTCCGTCAACCTTAAACAATAATCTTTGTCAATTTTATTTTTCAGTCTTTATGATGGTCGATACTTGATCTATCTCTTACTGTTACATCCCCGGGCAACGCCGGGCTCTACTGCTAGTCAACAATAAATGTCACTTTATTCTGATAACTTCTTAAAGGACGAAATGTGTCACACAAACAATTTTTTTTCACTTTGTCAAAGATTTATGTAAAACAAGAGAATAACAAAACAGTTGAAGCAAATCTGATTTTTAAGAATGTATTTGATAAACAAAACAGAAATTATTTTATGACTCAACCTAAGAAAGACCAGAAATCCTTCAAGTGGCTACACTAAATTCTTTTCTTCACAGTCTGTAACTACACTGAATTGTGTTAATATGTCAATTAATTTTTGTTGCAGTTCACGTAGTGCTTTCATGAGTGGTTATTTTCCTATCCACACAGGCCTGCAAGTAAGTATTTGTTTTCTCTCTCATCCTGTTTAATGACATGTAATTGTAACTTTGAAATTATGTTAACATCAAGAAGAAAAAAAATGTATGACAAACATCTGTTGGTTTCACTCTTGGAGAATGACTGCTAAAAATCCCACCTCCTCAAATTTATAGACAAATCCTACAGATGCATGCTGGGATTTCTTCCTCATCAATAAAAAGAAACAATTCATGGATTTACTCACACATTTTTTTTTTTTTTTGTTATTATAACCACTTGACACTTTCCCTTTTGTGTGTTTTTCCACTTTAAGAACTTTTTACTTTGATACTGTCTTCTATTTGCTTTGGTTTGCATTACATTTTATCTTGTCTTGCACCATTTTGGCCTGTTCTTCTTCCTTCTCTTATTGTTATTGAGAATTTTGTCAATTGTGCTTAACAATGCATACTTATTCAACAGTAGACAATGATTAAAGTTAAGCAGAATATATTTAAGTTTTTGTGGTTGGACAACTGAAAGAAAAATGCTTTTTCTTTCAGTTCTCGAACTGAAAAAAAAATGACTTACCACCAGCACAACAACTTTGCACATGTATCAAATGTAGAGAAATTCAAAAAAAAAAGATGGCTGCTCATAAGGCATATATTTAACAATGTTACATTCTCATAAATACAAGATTTTGCTGGTAACATGTAGATTTCCAACCATCGAAAAGAATATCAAAATCGCATTACCAATGGTTGAAGGGAAAATGGTTTTAGATCCTATGATCATCATATAGTGGAATATAGGTTTTCTGCTGTGGTCAAATGGTAAGAACACGAGATAGGGATGATAACAAGAAGACGATGAAATAAGAAGAGGTTTATTGTTACCAAAATGAACATCTAAGAACCAACAACAAAGTGAAATTGATTCTCTCAGAAGTGAACTCAAACTACAGGTTTTGTAATCAAAAATTTAAATTAGACTGCTAAGAATTGAAAATAAATAAAAATGTAGTAAAAACCAGTCATATATCTGAGTTGCTGCAAATCCTATATGTAGCTGAAGCAACCAGTTGCAAATCAAAGTGATGTTCTCCCAACCATCAGCACCTTTCAACCTGCTTTTTATTTGAAATGATTTATATATTTCTTTGTACAAGGTCACAAGAGGGAAGGGAAAGGCGGATTATCAGTATCTTACTCCTAACTAGTCTCATTCATGACACATGCAACCTTACAATATCACATTTACCACAAGAACCCTTTCATCTCCACTCAATCCAATCAAACACCAAAATACCGTATTTGCTCTATGGACCTACCTTACATCATGCATCCAACTGCTTGCCAACACTAAGAAATGTCCGCCATATACCTTTTGCCAGAATCACAGATCAGCTCTGATTTCTTGATGGCTAAGCATCACTATTCTCATGCAAATTAGCACAATGATTGCCATGCAAATTTGGCAGTGATGCCATCAATGTTGAGAGCTTGCTTCCTCTAAAAAAAATAATTATTCAAGAGAACACAACTCTTACTTACACTAGACACACTCTAGTCAAGGACTTTTATCCTGTTGATCTGGTTCTCTTCTATAAAAAAAATATTGCAAGACTAATAAAGTTACAATTTCACTAGTTTCATTTGCATTCTGAGAGTCATCTTAAAACCTTTCAGCTGTGTACAACAAACAAAATAAAGATTCTGTAGCATCTTTTAAAGGTGTGAGAAGGTAATGGAAATGAAATGCAGAGGGAGTATTCACTGTCAATGGTCAAAGAGACAATGTTTAGCATGCTGTCTATGCCGAAAAACAATACATTATTGCCCTGTCAGAACAGAGCTGGTGTGAACCCAGTATATCTGGTTATGAAGAAAGTGTCTACCAGCTTCCCCATGTCATTCAGGACATTGAGCTGAGCAGTGTTAGTGAAGCAAATGATTCCTTTGCTAGACAACTATTAAAGTTTTAGGCTCCATAAAAGCAGTCACATTTTCTGAAGTGGCAGTTTGGTGTGGTTTGTCGTCTTGACTGCATAACAGGATTGCAGTGTGATACAAATGATTTCTGTTCATGTTACCCAGTGTTGGTTTCAATTCATCTGTCCATTATTTACATTATTCAGACTATTGTCCTCATCTTTGTCGCCATATTTATTACAACGTTTTGACACATGGCACAGTGGATAAAGTTATTGGTTAGATCCAGTGACAGGAACCAAAGAGTGTGAGTTCAATACCTGGTTAAGGCAGTGGAGAACTTGGAAAGGGGAATTAACAGGAGATAACTGATAAGTGACATCCATTAAACATGGCATGTGTAACTAGGACATTCTACCCCAGTAAGCGAAATAAAGGGTTCAGTTCGACATTCCAACTACCTGAAGAAGGCCTAAGTATACAGTGGCTGAAAAATTCCCCTCTCTCTCTCGCTCTCTCTCTCTATATATAAATTAATGTGATTCAAACAATTTACCTCATACAGTTATTGGTGCATGGCAGAGAAAGGGAAATTTTAACGTATTATATATGAGATGTAAACAAATGCCAGTAGCCAAGAGGGCTCAATTTGTAATTGAAGAGCAATGTATTAACAGCAGCAGCAGTCACTATTATTAAAAAAAATTCCCCCTCTCTCTCTCCCTCTCTCTCTCTATATATATATATATATTTATTAATGCGATCCAAACAATTTATCACATACAGATGATCAATTGTTTAAATCTCATTAATTGTAATTCACTTATATGCTCTATAATAAAATTATATTGAGCTCTCTTTTGTAGATCAGTTTTAGTATCTTATATTAATAGGATCTACTTGGATTACTTACCCACAGAGTTTTTTTTTATATATCTATATCTCTATCTATAAAAGGCAGGATGTGTGTGTGTGTGTGTGTATAACGAATGCACAGCTGCAATTTTCGACGGATTTGCACCAAAATTTACATGCACATGCTCCAAGTTAGCGGGAATGCCAAGACTGACTTTGCATTTCCCAACTCCCATCGATAGTGGAAATAATTGATTTTTTCATGCTTCTATGGCAGTTTTCATGTAGTTTGCGGCCATTTTCTACTGGCCAGAGTGAGAGCCTATAGCTGGTTGCAACAAATAGGCAGGAAGATTCTATTGGCCAGCGTGAGAGCCAACAGCTGACTAACACAAATGTTAACTAGCATGCTAGCATGCAAAAAAAATCGATAGCTGCATTCATCACAAGTGTGAAAAATTTAAATCTGCATGGCACTTTACTCCAATTGGCTCATTCGCTTGCTTAAACTCAACGTTGATACTGATTCTGCAGGACTGGGTTGGGTGTGAAAAAGTATTTGTTGTTAACATTCTTTTTTCATTCGGTTCTTCCAGTTACAAGTCCTTTTTTAAAGCTGATCGTTTTGTGTTCATTTTGTTTAGTTGTTTTTCATAACAGATTTAATGTTTAGTATAGAACTTAGAAAAAATTTGCAGTGTAAGATAGGCAAGAAGTAAGGCATGTAGCAACATCAGCATGGCAAATGGCACTCCTTTAAAAGTCAAGGAAGGGCAAAAATATTTTAAGTCAAGTGATAGCGATTGCTGTATGAGTCGTATTGATTTTGAATCAAGCATGGGCAATGCCGGGCCATGTTGCTATGCTATATATATATATATATATATATATATATATATATATATATATATATATATATATATATATCTTACATTTTAATTTTGTTTCTTTTGTTGTGGCCCATCATTAGAAGTGGAACTACATTTTGTATAATTGTAATTGTGCCAATAACAAGAGTTTCCTCCCTAAACCTTTTCAATATAAATTTATAAAACTTTCAAGACAAAACAGAGTAAAGTTTTTTTTTCTTCTTTCTCTCTTTCTTCCGTTTGTTTCATTTCTCTCTTTCTCGTAAATTATATATATATATATATATATATATATATTTTTTTGTTTTCTCTCTCTCTCTCTCCAGCATGGTGTAATTCATGGCTCACAACCAAATTGTCTTCCACTCAATCTGACTTTGCTTCCACAAAAATTAAAAAGGCTTGGCTACAGCACCCACATGGCTGGAAAGTGAGTTACATTTTTCAAATGTTAATAGAAGTGTGTTAAACTGATGACCCCTGACCCATTTTATTAGTTATGCTTGCTTTATTTTGTATTTACTGAAAATCCTTGTAATCCAGATGTTTCACGGACACAAGATATGGACTATTGAAACTTATTAGTGTAGGAAAATGTAAGCAATTCTTTTTTGTTTTTATTATATTTTTTTTTAAACATTTCATCCCAAGCAAGGATATCCTGGATAAGACGATAAACTACATCCATGTCCTGGGTAAGACGATAAACTATGTGTGGGTAATTCAGTTTGCCCATCATTTATGATGACTGAAATGGATTAAAGTGCTTGCGTTCGTCTAGTCCTCTGGTCTACCAATTGAGCTGTTGCTAATGACCTCTTAGTCTCGTTAGTACGCATGTATGCCATCACGCCAACAACTCGATCTGCCATCTTCCTCCCAGACTCGCTATTTATGCATACGAGACTTCTCGTTCACCTGAGACTTCCAATTTTATAAATTCAAGCTGGTTTGAATTCTTAGTCTTTTTTTATTTTTCCCCTTTGTACGTCTGCTCATGATATAGAAATTTTGGAATAATTCATTTCTCTTTTAATGCTAGTTGTGATCTTTCAACAGGACCTGACACGCCAAGCAAATTCACTTTGCAGGAGGTAAGTCTTGTTCCTCACACTATGTCCAACAGCCAGGTCACTGATCAGGAGGTTTTAAGGAGTGTGGAACTACCTCTTAATTGCTGGTGTTTCCAGGTACAACATGACCTGGGGTGTTAGCACCTGTTAGGGTCCCAGCTATGGGCAAATAGTTAACACCCAAAGTTGGGTCAAAACACTATGAAAGTGTGAAAATAGGTTGTAATACTAGAAATGCTTTGTAAAAAAATTATTACCAGTAATAATTTTTCAAAGGAAAAGTTATTATCAGTAATACTTAAAAAAAAAAAAAATATTACCAACTATACATCTTTTTTTTTTTTTTTATATATATTACCAGAAATAGATTTTTTATATATATTACCAGAAATAGATTTTTGAAAGGAAAAAAAATATTACCAGCAATACTTATTTGGAAAAAAAAATGTTAGCATTAAATAACCCATTGAGATTGAGATGTCATAAAACAAAACAATAACCAGCAATACATTTTTGAAAAAGAAAAAAAATATTACCAGCAATAAATAACCTATTGAGGTTGATATACCGTTAAACAAACCAACCAAGAAAGACAGGAGTGCCACTAGTATGCAGGGGGTTATAGAAAGTGAAAATTAGAGGAAAGACTGGGTATGGGGGGGGATTGATAAAAAGAAGAGCAGGGATCAAGGCATCAGAAGATGACAATTGACATTGCATTTAAATTTTTCATGTTTGTAGTTATCAGGGAAGCAAGTAAGAGGAAGGGAGTTTCACTGTCAGGAAGTGTGAGAGAAGAAGAGATGGCTACATTTAAACGTTTCAACAGTGAAAGGGTGGGACCAAGATGCCAACCTAGTAGCATACTTAAATTCATGCAGGTGGGGCACCAGGTAAAATAGCTTATCAGAGCAGATGCTATGAAAATATATATATAGAAAAGACAGAGGGAAGCTACATTATGTCTGTGAGAAAGTGACTAGAGTCAAGATGCTAAATAGGGACTGACTTATACAGTGAGGTTCATCCTGTACACAGTCCCGGTAAGGGAGAGAGGGGGCACTTGAAATAGAGGGTTACAGAGTAAGAGGCTATTTATACAGATAGGAGGGGAAGATAACGGTTAACCCTAGATTCCACAAAGCAGTGGTTCTCACGAAGAAGCTGTTCAAGTGGAACTTACTTCTCGCTGATGGAATACAGAGGAAATGAGGGTGGGGTTTGTTACAATGTGAGTAGCATGGCGGGTCCTAGTCATGAAGATTAGACCTGGCAGAACAAAGGAATGTAGTTCGTCTGGGTACTTTCCATCGAAGGAGTGACAGAGCAGTGAAAGGGTTGCCACATCCCACCTGTGAGAGAGAGTTGGGAGGGTGGAAAATAATTTGTCACCCACAAGGACTCTGTAACACTTTAGGACTCTCTCGAACCAGGAAAGTGAAGATTTCCTGCCCAAATATAACAACAGTACTTCATTTTAGGCCTGATCTGGCTCTTGTAAAGGTGGAGGATAGCACGAGAAGTCGGGTAGTTACTGGAGTGGTACAGGGAATGTAACAAATCCAAGTAGACTCAAATCCACAGTGTAGAAAAATGAATCGCACACACACATATGCCCTGAAGATTTTTACACTTTGACACTCAAATGTAGCCGTTTATATACATATCTGAGATGCCTACAATTGGTCAGGTCAAAATTTGCTTGTCCTGCTAATTTCTGTATAAGTGAACTACAAAGAGAGCTTCGTTTTTTTTCTTTTCATTTTTAGCTGAGCATACATACATAAGCATATTTTCATTAAGGCGTGTTTGTCTTTCACAACCAAGAACACTAGAATACTTATCCTATAATTAACAATACCCTGTTGATGACCTTATGCTATGTTGAAAGTACTCGGAAATAAATACAATATGAACCAACTCGGCATTTTCCTCTCATCTTTAAATAACCACACAAAAAAGCTCATCCGTGAGTATGAAAGGATCCTATCGAGAATAAGTAGACAGAACATGTCTAAATTATTTAACAAAACCTATATATTTTATTTTAGGATATTACATTGAAAAACATGTCAAAATCACTACACAATTTGTGTTTCAATGCATCCCATAGTAATTTACAATCACCTGATGACATGCATTGACACACTTTGAAAAACGGCTGCAATTTTTGATGAAATGTACTAAAACAAAAAATATTGCTCTAATTTGTATTGAGCCCTCTTTTTAAATGTTATGAAAATTTATTAAATCAAATTTCAAGTGGGCAGTTTCATATGTTTTCACACAATCATTAGGCGGTCAGTCGTGATCATTGCGTGAAAATGTATGAGACTGGTAATCCTGGTCAGTCACTGCCCACTTGAAATTTGATTTAAAACATAATGAAGCTCTGCCATTTAATATGGCATAGAGCACTTTTTTTTTTCTTTTTTTTTTCTTTTTTCCTGAATGCAACCTTATCAGACTCTTTTGGGAGCTGCTTTTTTATTTTATATATAAATGAAAGAAAATTTGTGCACCAAATTCTTTTAAAGATAATTCTTTTAAGTTTTCAAGACTTAAATTCTTGAAATAAGTAACTGACACCTTTGTGAGAGAAAACATTTTTGCTTCTATAATCAGCACTTTAGGATTTAGGGTTAAAATATATAAAAAAAAAAATGAGCAAAGTAATAGGAATATGATCCTATTATAAGGAAACAGATATTAAGAGTTGTTAGTCTCTGAGTGAATAATATTAATGAGGAGAAATAACAATAGACTATTTGTTTATGCAAGCCATTAAACACTAGTGATATTTTAAGAGCCTAAAGGACTCAATTGTTTGTCATAACAATTATGAAGCATAATGTTCCCTGCATATGTGTCATATAAACATTCACACATGGCTGAGTGAATTCATAGTTGATTTAACAACCTTCATTGTCGTCATGATGTTTTCCACGATTGTAACACTTGCACTAATATGTGAGATGATGAAATGTCCTTCACAACCAAAAAGTCCTTCGAAAAAGAACAAGGAACAAAAGTGTCTTGTACATACTCATCCTAGAGGCCCTTCCATTTTCAAAACAAAACTTACAGCCACATCACATTGAAACACTGGTTCCCGTACAGTAACAAAAGTTAAGCAATGTTGAATCTGGTCAGTACCTAAATGGGTGACTGCTTGGGAAAATCAGGTGCTGTAAGCTTCAATGTGCAGGTGATGTAACAGATAATGAATCTGAATTGTTAATAAGTGGGCCGAGTTCCAATTCCAGTTGGGTTTGTTATATTCACTTTTGCACAAATACCCTTGGGAAAGGTGTGAAGCCACCTCTTCTCTCCCACAGCTATGGGTTAATTAGTAAGACTTGTATCACTAAATCATTATTATCTAAAAAGAAAATGGAAATTCTTACAATCTAAAAATATTTTCTGGCTTTAAATAACCTGAAAATGAATCAATCAATTTTCAAGATAGTTTGCAGAGTTCTCTTCTGGGATTACCTTATTGTGTGTTCTTTGATGGGATACTTTCTTGACTATCACCAGATTTAATTCTCACACTAGCAATTACTGATTTTCTTTGATGGCAAACTACACATATTCAACATTTTTGGTTGTTCTGTTTGTTGAAGACATTCTAAAATTTGGATCATTTTCAATGGAACTCTGACCATGTTTCAGGCCAAATTGGTATCCAGGTTTTGTTTGTCAAATCATCCCTGAAAGCTTCCTTACAGATACCTATTTACTTAAACATTATGAATGCGATGGTCACACAGTACACAAGCAAATTCAATGGTGTCTCTCTGCTGACTGAGAATCCCTACTGGAGTGTCTGTTCATGTATATGTAGTAAAGTTTTCCTCTGATTAGTTGCTGCATGAACAGCTCTTGAAATATTCAAAATGGTCAGATACTTTCTGGACAGATCCCATATTATCTGTTTGTTTTTGTATTCTTATTTTGAATGATTTGTATTAAATTTGGAAGTTAATTTGCAAATATTTAGACAATGTTCAGTTGACATTACTAGTTATTTATTTTTAAATTTTTCTTTTGAAGGTGGCACCTTGGCTTTTGTAAGTGGAATTGTACACCAACCTTTCGAGGATTTGATTCTTTTGTTGGCTTCTATAATGGAGCTGAAGGTTATTTCAATCATTCCCAAGGTAATGGCTTTGTTAATGTGTCAGATTTTGTTTTCTTTAAAAGCTTACACCAGAGAAGTCTTCAATGGTTTAATTCTGTCAAAAAATAACTAAGATACCGTGTGTAAATTTAAAAAAAAAAAAAAAAAAAATTGTTTTTGACATATTCTACTATACATTTATATACGAGGGTGGGCTGCAAAGTTTATAGGTTGAAGGAGTTAGGCTCGAGCAGTGAAATATTACTTGCATTAATTTCAACTCTTCTTATTAATAACTGCATTGTTTCTTTCCTGGTAAACTGACATCTGACTGTTCAAAGAAGACTGTTCAACCTGTCGGCCAAAAATGTCATCAACAGTAGATATGACGTCATCATCACCGAGATACTAGTTCCAAACTGTTTTTTCAAGTTGGGGAACAAATAATAGTCAGCAGAATAGGGAGGGTGATCAACTAGTTCAAAGCCACATTCATGTACAGCTGCCATTGAAACCAAGGACTGTGCTGGAACATTGTCCTGATGAAACAAGATCCCTTTTGTCTGGTTTCCTGGATGTTTGGTCTTGATAGCCTTTGGTAACTGCCTCTGCAAGTTGGTATAGTATTCTCCATTGAAGGTGTTGCACTTTTGAAAATAATCAATAAACACAATGCCTTTCACATCCCCAAAATTTGAGGCCATCACCTTCCCTGCAACGACCTTGGCCTTCTTTAGAGCAGGTGAGAAGAGGTGTTTCCACTGCATTGTCTCTGACACAGTGATGAACCATCAGCCATCTTAGGTTAGGAAATTTTCAAGGTAACCAGCTGGATCTGCCTCAAACAATGTCAGATTTTCTTGTGATTTGTGGAGCCTGGTATCAGAAGATGTGGCACTCAATGAGCAGAAACCTTTGTCATGTCAAGTTCATTGTGCAGAATATTTTCGACTTTTTTACAGGATATGCTAATAGCATTGGCTGTTTGATGCATAGTCAATCACCTGTCATCCATCGCTATGTGGTGGCCATGATCAATGTTTTCCTCAATGGTGGAAATTGTAGGACAGCCAGACTTTGGGTCAACTTCAAGATTCTCCCTTCCCCTCCTAAATTCAGCTTCTGACTTTTGCACTGTTGATTAAGCTGGAGTACAATCCCCAAATGTTACCATGAATGTTCTTAGGAAATAAACTCTTTTGCTTCAGGTTCTTGATAAATCTATGATGCCAAATTTTGTCCATTTTCAAAAGAAGTTACTACTAGTTACTCTTGAAGTCTTCTTTGAAAAGTCAGTTTATCTGGATAGAAACAATATAGTTATTAATAAGAAGAGTTGAAATTAATGCCTGCAAGATTTCACAGCTCTAGCATCACTCCTTCATAGTCAACCTATGAACTTTTCAGCTCACTCTTGTAGCTTTGACTCTTCATTTAACTTCTTGAATGTGTAGCAGGTACCATTTCACAAGTACAATGCTTTAATGTTTATCACCGAATAGAATGACATCTTAACATAGGAGTAAAACAAGTTGAGCCATTTGCTCCTCTTCACTGCTGATTTGGTCTGTTACAAAGGTTGTTCTAAAGCAGTGAAATTTAACTAAGTTAAAATGAATGAAAGAAATCTATTATGTAAATAATCAATAATTCTTCTTTTTTTTATCATCACTGGCAAGGTTATTTTTAGAATGATGAAATATCATCATTCTAGATCATAACAGATTAAATAAAGGATTCAGTTCAGAATTCCCTGTAGGTTACCAAGATCAATATACACCTGAGAAAGACCAGAGGTCACAGTAATTGAAATGTTGGGATAATAACAACAAAAATGAAGATAATAGTCTGAGTATAAATAGTGTAAATAATAACTCCTCACCCTGGAAATTTAGACAAAAATTATCTACTACTTTTGTTCTTATTTTTCAGGTCATAGAAATAAGTGTGGTTATGATTTTCGGTTTAATACTAGTGTTTATTACTCAGCAAAAGGAACATATTCAGCAGTAAGTATATTAAAAAATATTGGATTAAAATTTTTATTTTTATATACTAAGGTTAAAAATTTGACTGATTGTTTTCAAGTATGCCCTACTGTGAGAGTAGCTAGCTAATCCCTGTTGCTGATGCCAGCTCAGACACATTTGTGTTTTTTCAACACCCATAGAGCAAAAATGTGGCTTATACAGCAATTACACCGAGCAGATCTTAGTTACAGTTTCAGGAAGGGAATGTATAATCTAGCATGATCAGTAGATGAACAAGGACAGTATGCTCAAACACTCAGTCACAATGACTTGTAACTTCATGCTAGTGCAACCATCGACAGCTTACAAGTTTTTCTACCCAATTTTACTCACAAGACTTGGGTCAAACCATGGTATGATTTTCAACCACTTCTCAAGACCCTTATTATGAAGAAGTCTCCTCCCTGACAACTTGGTTACTTTAGTATAATCAATACAAATAAAGGAAAAGCACCACAGTTTTTGTCATTTTATTGGTCACATCATGAATTTGGTAACATGCTGGTAATATTTTTTTTGATGATGGACAATTTCCCAACAGATGAAAAGGAGACTTGAGGCAACAGGATTTGTTTCTACAGAACGATACTGAGAATACCATAGACAGAGCAACAAAGTTTTAGGGAAAATGGAAACAAAAAGGACACGTGTACTTAGAGACGTCTGAAATTTCTAGGTGACATAATGAGAAAAGAGGGCATGGAGAAATTGACACTCACAAGACATTGAAGACAAGAAGAGCAGAGGGAAATATCAAGTAATCAAGTTTGTGTAAATAAATGGGAGAAGAGCGACTGGGAGAAATAGTAAGGAGATTAACATTGCTTAGAGCTACAAAGGCTAGGAAATTAGGGAGAGCCACCCTGAAGAGACATAGTACATAAGAGTTGTAAAAAATTAATGTTCAACAGATCATTCATCTATAATAATATATCATTTTTTTTATATCTTAATGTTATTTTGATTTATGATCATAATTTTTTACAGTCATATATTAATTCTGGTGTCATCATACAAATAACGTGTCAGATTGTTTCAGTGTTAATTTAGTACTAGTCATCAAACCATTAAAATATATGATGCTGTTTGATTTTTGGATATTTAAAAAAAAAAAAAGTGTGCCTTATATAACAGAGAAATAGAGTATGTACTGCATATATATTTTATGCGCTCTCCAACTGGATTCGAACTTGTGTTACCCTCGGGAAAAATGTCATAGATCTGACGTGCTTTAACATTGATGCTACAGAGTGCATCAATGGCAAAGTTGAAAAGTGCCTTGAAACAGATTTTTCTCTGAATCTTGAAATAGACATACATATCTATTCAGTTTCATATCCTAACGTAAGCCATTTGTAAAGAAAGTGGATTAATTTTTTATTTATTAATCTGACAGATTTTGATTATTTAAATGATACTTGTATTTAAGTATGCATTCCATTTATTTATTAAACAGTATATTTATTTATTTTGGTCATCAACACATTCTGTAGGTAAGAGGTCAAAGCATGTCGGATCTCTGACAGTTTCCTCTAGGGAACGCAGGTTTGTATCCTGCCAGAGAGTGCACATTCTTTACACATGTATTTTTGCTTCAATACAATAGACAACTATGATTTTCTACAATATAATTTTTTACATACTTGCACTGAATATATAAACAAGGAAATATTTGAAGCAGCCTGATTTTGAACCAATGCCAAGAATATTTGTCTTTATCTTAACTTGCATACAGGCAATGAGTATTACTTTTTCATCTCAGCCTCATTAACTTTATACGTCAGTACACTCTTCATTTTAATTTGTACTATTCAGTTTAACATTCTTTCACAAAACTGCTTGAGATATGTAGAATATTTGGCAATGGTTATGCGTAATTGGCAAAAACGTTCAACAAATGGAATTGACAAAGTTTCCATTAAATGATAGGGAAGAAAAGGGGAAGAAAAAGAACAGGGTAAAATAATACTAAGCAATCAATATATATGTAAGTCAAAACTCAGCAAAGCAACAGTAATAAGGCAAAATGTTCACAAAGTGTAGTGTTCAAATGTAAAAAGGGATATGGGCAAGTGATTATAGTGTTCTGATTTCAAGACAAGAAAGAACAGTAATATGAATTGGTCCATTTGATTGGTTAGGAAGAAATCCCAGGATGCATCTGTATGCTTTGTCTATAAATTTAAAGAGGGTGGGGGGATGTTTTTGAAGTCATTTATATGGATTGGAACCAACAAGAATTAATAGATTTATTTTTAATTTGATATTTTACTTTATTTTATTTTTTTTTATTTATTTTTAATCTGATATTTTTATTTATTTATTTATTTATTTTATTTTTTATTTATTTTTAATTTGATATTTTCATTTATTTTAGTTTTTTTTATTTATTTATTTTAATTTGATATTTTATTCTAATTTTTATTTATTTATTTTAATTTGATACTTTTTATTTATTTTATTTTTAATTTAATATTTTTATTTATATTTTTTATTTTAATTTGATATTTTTTATTTATTTTATTTATTTATTTTTATTTTGATATTTTTATTTATTTGTTTATTTTATTTTTTATTTAATCTATTTACGTACTTATTTTTAATTTGATATTTTTATTACTTCAAAAGTTATTTTTAGTGAATACTTGTAATACACACAGTTTTAAAAAAACAGAATTTATTCAAACATAGGCAGCCACTAAATCTAATGTTTGAAGTAATATAAAGAATATAATAATAAATATTTATATATTTCTACTAAAACTAATGCTCAGCATAATAAGAATATAACACTATTAGTTTGGTATGGTTTATTTTGTTTTACGGCATATCAATCTCAATAAGTTATTTAATGCCGACAAAATATTTTATTGCTGGTAATATTTTGTTTTGTCAAAAAGCTGTTTCTTGTAATATTTTTCCTTCCAAATTGTATTGCCAGTAATGATTTTTTTCAAAAAAGTATTGCTGGTAATAGTTAACTATTTGCCCATAGCTGGGACCCTAACAGGTGCTATCACCCCAGGCCAGGGTGAACCTGGGAACACCAGCAATTAAGAGGTGGTTCCACGCTCCTCAAAACCTCCTGATTAGAGGCCTTGCTGCTGGATGTAGTTTATCGTCTTACCCAGGACGATATAATGCTATTAGTATTTAATATTTAAAGAAACACATGCTTAATCTTACCCTGTATCTTCAATGGATTATAAGTAATTTTAATTCGTTATTTCCAATCTTTGTATAAATTTCATCACTTTCCTCTTTTCACTGTAGAACATGTTTGCTCAGCGTGCTGTGGACATCCTTTCAAGACACGACCCCAGTCGTCAACCCCTCTTCCTATATCTAGCCTTCCAAAATGTGCACACACCATTGCAAGTAAGTACAAATGACAGAAACACTTATACTTTATGTGTATCTTTTCATATTGATAAAGTTTGTAAAATTTAAAAGAAAAAAAAAAAAAAATTTTTTTTTACGTTTTGAAAATTTTTAGGTCAAGGGAAAACAAAAGACACTCACTGTGTTACTGACCCTAGAAACCTGCTGATATTTTTTTTAATGGACTGTGATTGGACGGTTCAAAGGTGAACTGCCCCCTCCCCCCCTTTGAAGGGGAAGGGAGAACTGGGAAAAAAACCTTAGCAGTATGTAAAATTTAAAAAAAAAGTTTTTACGTATACTATTTATGAAATTATTTATTTTTCCTTGATAATTTTGAATCTATATATCTATATGAGCTAAATTAAGGATTGACTGTGTGTATGCATAAATACACGTTATCTTTTTTGCTATCTCCACCTATAGCAAATTGCACACTAATATGAGATGGCTTTATTGAAAGAGCTTGGCTTTCAGGGGCTGTATTCAATTACCCCTGGTTACATGTAACACATGTCTAAAACTGTTGCTATGATTCCTACCATCACATATTTGGAGCTGCTGATCTATTCTTCTAGACTGGAAATTCTTGGTCTGTTATTTTCCATGTGAATTTCATCAGCTTATACTTTCATACTGGTTTAGGACAACATGGAAGAGAATAAAGACACACAATTACATAAATCTTTCTCTTTCATATATATATATATATATATATATATATATATATATATATATATATATACACTGGACTCTCCTGTTGTCTTCGACGTATGAGGGTCAAGCAGCTCAGTTCTGGGAACCAACAGCCAGACTACCCACACATATCATTTGATTATAGTGGTGAAGGCTTGTGCAGAACTAACCACACTTTGTAAAAAGCTGAATACAGAGAACTGTATCAACCAATCTAACAGCTCATCTCACAATCCTCACTCTTACTCCATATGTGGCCTCCTTTGTAAATCACTATATGGGTCTTAAAAAAAAACTTTATTGTCAAAAATTTCACTAGCAATAAGCTGTCAGATCCTCAAATGCCACCCATTATTATATAATATATAATTATATATTATAAATAATTATATATAAAATATATCAATAAGTGAACATTGTCAACATTAGAGGCCTGTTTCATATGTCGGCCTGACGGCCTGTGGTAGTGAAACAGCCTGTCGCCTCTAAGTGTTGACTTCAATTATTATAATATCTCTGATATTGAGCACTTTATCCCATAAATATAGCACACCTTAAGAGTATTTTCTTTATATATATATATATATATATATATATAGAACAGTAAAAAAAATTTTTTAAATTGTGGACATAAAGCTTGTTTATTAATATTTTTTGTTTTATTATTTAAGTTAATTATTTTATCTAAGGTTTGAAAAAAAAAAAAAAATTCAATGAACTATGTCTAATCTTTGTAACATCAAACAAATGTGATTACTTTATTGCCAAAATATAAAACTTGGAAGAGATGTTTTTGTTAGTTACATAGTCTGAATTGAAAAAGGAATAATAATTATTTACATTCAGACTAATGTCCTCATCTTTGTTGCTACTTACAGAAATGTGTAAATGTGATAATAGCAACAAAGTTGAGGATCCTTTAAAACAATGATTCCCAACATGGAGCACATGCCCCACTGGTGGGGCATGGTGATATTTAGATGGGGCATATTTATCCCTTGCATTTAAAAATATTCATAGAAATATGAGTTAATTTTTCCTTTCAGTTTATTAAACAGGTTGTTAATTTTTTTTCTTTAAAATAAAATAACTATAAAATAATTCACTAAGAATGTACTAAACGATCCTAAAGCAAGGAAAAAGAAAGAAAGGAAAAAAAGGAAGAAAGGAAAGATTTTTATCAAAACAGGCCGCTTGTGGACCAGATGTCGGTCAGAGCCTCTGACTGACCTTAATTTTTGTTGAAAGAATATTAATATTTTTGACATTTTATTCTTATCAAAATAACGAAAAGGTAACTTTTAAATTAGAATAATAGAAATGAATTTTACTTTAGTCATCTTTGGGTTGGGGAAGGTTTGAAATAAAACCTGTTAAAAAACACCCACGTTAAGAAAGTGAACTATTTCCTAATAATTAAGATTCTCATCAGGAAAACAAATGAGGATTAAAGAAGAGCAATTGTTTTTGGACCAAAATATCCTTTCTAAAACAAGACTAATTAGGAAGAAAGTCCATGTTGTTTTTTTGAAAAAGATCGGATTTTGTTTTTTTTAAAAACCATGTAACCACACCCGCCAACAAAAGGAAATTTCTATCTTGAATTCACTACCGGAAAAGGAAAGAAAAATCAATTACTTTACATTCAGACTAAAAGTCCTCGGGGAACTTTGGTTGAGAGCGATCACCTGACATGAGAGAGACTAAGAGAATGTGTAAATGTGATAATAGGGTGAAAACAATAACAATTGGAAAGAAAATCCTTTGAAATTATCAATGATTCCCAACATGGATATAAGCAGGACCCCAGTGGCAGAAAGAGTTGCATGTTGAGTTGAAGTTGGAGTGGAGTTGCAGTTAGAGTTCATCCTCCGACGGCAGCGAAAAAAGAACCCTCAGACAAGAAGAACTTCCAGCCCAAGTAGATGAAGAAGAAGATTGCCTGAAAGCCTGAGAAGAATTGGAGCTGCAGACACCAACAGAATAAGGGTTCATCCCAGACGGCAGCGAGAAAAGAACCTCAGACAAGAAGAACTTCCAGCCCAAGTAGACGAACAGCCTGAAAGCCTGAGAAGAATTGGAGCTGCAGACAAGCCGAAAGTTTTAAAGTTCATCCCCGGACGCAGCGAAAAAGAACCCTCAGACAAGAAGAACTTCCAGCCCAAGTAGAAGAAGAAGAAGAAATTTCAACTTTTAGAAATTAGCCCAATGTCGAACTGAACCACACGATTACAAATGATTCTAGAAAGTAGGTAGTTCGATTTTTTTTTTTTTGCTATTTTTGTGATAAGCTATTGTTCAGAACGGGTCGGGAATTGAGAACAATTTTGTTTTTAGCTTTTAAGATATAAAAGGTTGTTACCCTTTTTATCGGCAATTTTGTTTGGTCTTTCAGTTTTTATTTTTTTGTGTTTTTTGCCACCCCGGCCGGACTCAACATGTATATGTCCCGTTTCTAAATCTAATATATTTAACCGTCTTTTTTTAGTGACCAGGTATTAATTTTTCATCTGACCAAAGGGTTGGACACCATGGTCCCAGGAGGAGCGACCAGGAGGAGCGACGTGTTTAACCAAAAGGATCCGACACTGGGCCAGGTGTGTAACCGTCACAGTAAGATGTGCACCCTTCAGATTACTATACCAACAGAATAAGGGGGTAATTCAAGAATCACTTATTAACAGTGAATTGTTTTCTAGTGAGCTCAAATTTCATTTTACATTATTATTTCATGATTAAAATGATCAAAGTATATTGCAGAATGAGCTTTCAAATATTTTATATTTCTATCTTTCAGTTTTCTCTTATATGTTTTAAAACTATATATATTTAACTGTCTTTTTTTTTATTAATTTTTCTCTTTCATGGACACCATGGTCTTTGGAGGCTTGTTTAGAGACCAAGTTAATGAACTTTTAAGCTTCCTTTACGCAAATTGCAGTAAAATTTTAAATACGTAAGAATTAAATATTACAGTGGGTACCAGAATTTTAGAAATACCAAAAGTGGGGGATGGCCCAAAATCTGTTGGGATCCACTGCTTTAAAGGTTTAGTTAAAAATTCCCTAATAGTTATCTGACTTCAGAGACACCTAAAGAAGGCTTGAGGCACACTGGGTGAAACACTATTATAATAACAATAAAGATGAGGACAATAGTCTGAATGTAGATGAATAGTTTTGTTTTTCTATTTTTATTTATTTTTGCTCTTTCGCAGGTACCAAAACATTTTGAGAAACGTTATTCCCACATTCAACATAAAAACCGAAGAACATATTGTGGTGAGTTATTATACTTTTGGGAATTGTTTTTTTATTTTTATAATGCATTGCAGAAAAGCCCACCAGATAAAATTTATAGTTTGCTTTTATTCAATTTCCAAAGAGATGGAAATGTAATTTTTTTTTTTTTTTTTTTTTTTACATGAAGAAACCTGATTTTCAAATTATTCATTTGTTCAAATAAAAACTTTTTCAGTTTCTTGAAAATGTTTTCTAAAACATTTTTATTAGTAGTATAAAATAATTCAAAATAATAATTAATTAAATAATTATTAAGTAAGTAAATGTCAAATAGTCTGAATTGGTCTTATACATTTACTTTTGGGAGAAAAGTATTTTAAAAGACAGTTTATTTAAAATTTTCATTATTTAAAAGTTTCATTTTGTGTCTAAAAGTTTATTTTTTTAAAATTTAGAATTGCCTCAAATAACTGTCATGGTGTTTTGTTAGGAATTCATTTTCCAAATTCAAAAGAAATATATTACCATCGTGTTTTTGTGGGTTCCACCCCTTTAAAAAATGTAAAGTTGAAGCTCATTGATTCACCCCCAAGGATATTTCAGATGGATTAGCAGATGAATGGTAGGAGGTGGTGAGATGGCACAAAAAATGAAGCCTGCTGGCTGCAATGGGATAGTCAGATATTGGAAGGGATTGGACATCACGTTCAATGAAAGATGGCTTGACTTGGTCATCAGACCTGAAACAGGTGAAACTAACTACAGAAAGGTTCTAGGCTTCCTTGTATGAAAGTAGCCAGCAGAGCAAAGGGCAGAAAGGTTTTGGCATTCTTAAAAACAATGCCAAAAGAAATTTCATAATAGTGTAAACTTTTCAAAGATCTTTCTGGAAAAGGTGAAAGCAAATGCAGTGAACCGCATGGTGTCCCAAGCAGAAAGAAAACAGAACATTAAAAAAACATTAAAACCTCCCAGAGAATCTTGGTGGAAATACAGTTTTTTCTTTTGTCCTTTATTTGTACAAGTAATTTCTTCTTAATTTCAACAGATTTTCTATACCCTTCTCAAAGTTTTTTTTCTTTCATGATTTGAAAAAAATTTTATGGCAAATTTTTTTTTAGAGTTTATTATTTCCATAATTTTGCATTTAAATTAGTCTTGTTCATAATAAGGTACATAAAATAAGGTGTAAAATTTGTACTTTGTTATATTTTATGACTATATAATAAATATTTGTATCATTCAAATTCCACAAGGTAGTTTTGAGTCTTGGTTACTGTTTGCATTTTTTTTAATGTTCTCTGTTTACCCATTCTCTCCCAGAAAAAAAAAATGTATAGAATGCTTTTATTCAAATTTTAAAGAGATGGAAATTGGAATTTTTTTTTTTTTTAATAATCTGATTTTCAATTTTCAAACTGTTGATTTGTTCAAATAAAAACTGAATTTGAAAATGCCTTAAATTATTTAAATTGTTAATATTAGAAAGTCACAATCTCAAAATAAAGCTAGTAAATTCCTTTTGATATTTCTTTTTTTTTTTTCCACAGCAATGGTGTCTGCTCTTGATGAAGCTGTTGGTAATGTTACAAAAGCTCTTGAAAAATATGGTTTTATGAACAATACTTTGTTGGTTTTCACAACAGATGTAAGTTTGTTTCTTTAATCTCGATTAGTGCACTACAAATTACACCAGCTAACTGAGAACACATTATATAAAGAAAAGATATTTAATACGAAACAAAATCAGTATACGTATTTTCAGAAAAAAAAAATTGTAAATATCTTAAAAAAGAAAAACAAAATATTTATCCGGTAAGCTCTGAATTAGCTGCATGCCAAGATAAAATGTTTTTTGTTGATCCTGACCATCATGTCAATGATAGAAAACTTCAACAGGTTCTTGGTATTATGAGGTCATTAGATGTTCTCCCTCTCTATGACACTCCATGCAAAATTGTCCAAAATATTCAAGCCAGGAATGAGAAGTTCACATGTTAGCAGGGATGACATGATCCTGAAAATTCTTGGTCAGCCACTTTTGGCTGAAACCTCATTATGAGTAGACTGAGCACTTTATTGCAAAGACTGCTTGCCTTAAATAATCCTTTCTTTCAGACTTCCACAAACTGGCTTTATACTATCTTCATTATCGTTAATTGTTTTAATAGATAGATTTTATAAATTTCAACCATCATTAGTACTGGCTGCTTGGTTAATGAATGCCAAATGTTTCCTTATAGGGAGACGGCTAATAATACCATTACCATTTCAAACGAAATTTGATGTCCATCTGTTATACAGGGGGCTGCAATAGTAGTTATACAGTAAGTATTATATCAGTATTACCAATAATAGTGATTCTAGGATACATATAATCCTAGAATTCATTTAATTCATTTTGACTATTTTTACTTTCATAATTTTTATTATAGTACATTTATTATAATTTTTATTTTTGGTTTGTAATTTAATGGATGAGGAGCACTGATAATGGGTTTCCTTGTCAAAATTCTACTCTCTCTCTCTCTCTCTTTTTTTATATATATATATATATATATATATATATATATATATAGCATATGTGACGTCATTTGTTTACATTTGGATACACCATGAGCTGATATGAAAGTACGTGAGAGAATCATGGAAGATTCTTGTTTAAACACACACTCTGCGTTTTATAATAAGTAAGATTTCGGCTGTTGTATGCTCCGGCCTTCGTCAGGTGGTTGAAATGTCGAACTGAACCCTTTATTTTGCTCACTGAGGTAGACTGTTCTAGTTCCATGTTTAATGGATGTCAGTTATCAGTTATCTCCTGTTAATTCCTCTCTCCAAGTTCTCCACTGCCTTAACCGGGTGTTGAACTCACTCTTTGGGTCCTGTTATTGGTTCTAATCAACGCCTTTATCCACTGTGTCATATGTCCTCGAGGATGTTGTAATAAATATGGTGACAAAGATGAGGACAATAGTCCAAATAATGTAAATAGTATACATAATACCTCATCTCAGAAGTATAGACAGATACTGAAAGGCCGAAACGTTGTATTCAATATGGCGACAAAGATGAGGAATATAGACTGAATAATGAAAATAGTGTACATAATAACTCATCTCAGAAATATAGACTGATACGGGAGCAAACAGTTTGAACATTTAACGGATTGATATGTTTGTATAATCAGTACAATGTTTTGTGCACATATTTTGTTTTTCATTACTGTATACTGACTTTTGCAAACACTTTATATGATTCCCATGAATATTGAAAGTGGTACGACTTGTATAAAACACATAAAATTGTAAATTATTTTCTGCTAAATCATTTATCTTGCCTTTGCCCTCTCTCCCTAAATAATTATAACATACCACAGTTTTTTCACCTTTCCATCCGTACTTATCTTTCAATGTTTCACTCATTATCTTTTGATATCCAGCCAGCAAAACTGGCTCTCTTTCTCTTGTCTTTATCTCCATCCTTTCCCACTTTCTCTATATGTATATATATTTATTTTTTCCTTTCATCTGGTTTCCTTTTCATTTTTCCCTGGCATTCTCACCTCCTATATTTGTTCCTACATACACCCCCCCTCATGTCCCATGTCTTCCCCTTCTTCTTTTTTTTTTTTTTGCTTAATATATTATTATTATATTGAATTCTTGGTCAGAAAGTGTAACTAATTCCAAGTTAGACGGGTCAATAATTGAACAGATACTACACTTTTATCCTAAATAGAAAATTATAATGTTTGTATATGTTTTTTATTACTTCAAATGTTATTTTTAGCGGATACCCGTGTTCGAAATAGATGTCCCATTATTTTAAAGTGTGTATTACACACTATTGGCTAGTGTACTCGAGAAAACTTAATGAAAATATGCTCTCCACATTTTCTTTGTTAATTTTTCTCATGTGCACTGGCTGATAGATGTAGCACACTGTTGAAAATAACAGGACATTTATTTCAAACACAGGCATCCACTAAAAATAATGTTTGCTATAATAAAAAAATCTTTGTACATACAAACCGAGTAAAAGAATAATAGTATAGCTTTTATATTTTGTTTATATCAGTTTACTTAAAACTTTTCTGTACCGAGTCTTAATTATATTTTGCTTATACAGGGTGTCTCCAAAAATTTGACATCATTTTAAAAGCAGTTATCTTGAAAACTACTAAGTCTAGCTTATGAAATTGAACAGTTTAGGTGTTGAATATCATAAGTTTATTATGAGACCAATTTCATAAGTGTTCAATATGAGCGCTAACTGTGACACGGCACACGTCATGTTGGTAGTTAAGCTCTTGCCAACCATGCTGATGTTGATGATGGTCTACCAGATCCCTTAGCCCTGCATAAACAGCCTTCCTCTTTAAATTTTTGGTATTGAGCCCAATTTTGTTTGCCAGTTGGGAAAGTTTTTCCAAATTTTACATTGAAGGCACACTGCACAGTCTTGGGTGACTGTGTGCGAGCATATTCCAAGACGCAAAATGACTTCTCTTTGGGAGTGAATGGCATGCATCAATCTGAAAACAGAACAAAAATAAAACATTAAATATAAAATCTTGATCTGTTTCTATACATTCTGTGAAAATTTGAGGTTATTTCAACAAGAATTGGCAAAATTATTGGCCTGCAAAACGATGTCAAATTTTTGGAGACACCCTGTATATGAATAAGACTTTAGACATATCATGTATAATGCTACATTATTTTTATTACTGCCTAGAATGGAGGCCCCACACGAATTGCATCAAATAACCTCCCTTTGCGTGGAGCAAAGGACACACTTTGGGAAGGAGGTACAAAAGGTGCTGGATTTGTCTATGGACCTGGTGTTTTGAAAAAAACTGGCTATACACATACTGGGTAGGTTTTGTTATCGTTTTCAAAGTTAGGTTTCTTTTTTTCAAATTCAACAATTAGGATGTGTGGGTTGTGTTGACAGATATTAACGCAGAGTTAATGGAACTGGTGGTAGGAGTTAAAATTCTGACCTAGCTTGTTACTTTCATTTTTGCATTAATTCCCTTGGAGAAGATATGAACGCATCTGTTCTTACTCCAGCTATGGGTTAAATAGTTTGGCTCTTTAGTTTTTTTTCCCAAATGTATCGACTAAATGGATCAACTTCTATATAACTTTAATTTATTTGAAACTTTTTTTATTTTGTATTCTTATTTTAGACACTTTCATGTCGTTACTTATCGCTTGTTATCCTTTATGCTAACTGCTCCTATGAGAAGAATGATGCTAAAAGATTAATAACAAAACTTTTGTAGGCTGGTGTATGCATTGAGAGATAAACATGTGTCTCCTGAAATGCCCACAACCAACATGGCAGCCTCAGGATATGAGTCCATGTAAAAAAAAACAAGGAAACAAGGATATAATATATATATATATATATATATATATATATATATGTGTGTACAAACAAATGACAATGTATTAACAATAAAGGGTTACATAAACAATAGAATACTGTTGCATGTTACTGAACAATGAACATGAATGAAGAAACTATGGATTGTTTGCATATGTGTAGTTTGGTGTAAGAGAAAGTCCTAGAAAAAATGAAGTGAAAGGTGCACATGTACTTGTGTGTGTATTGTTCATGTTTTTCCCAAAAGGGAACATGTTCTTTTGCAAGAGATTTATGTGTCGTATAAACAGAAAAGTAAGAAGAGAGAGATAAAATTTTTATCACAGAGTATTTATAGTCCTGGTGAGTGTCCCCTAGTAGCAGTTTTGAAAATAAGGAGGAGGTAACCCAACAAAAACCTCTTAGACACTCTTTGCTGACTACTGCATCATAAAGCCATATCATTGTTGACAAAGTCAATTAATCTTTATATGTTTCACTTCTATAAATAGTGACCTTCAAAGCGTAAATATTTTGTGGATTCTGCAAAATGTTTATTGATTAGAATTGAGACAGAGTGAACTGGAAATCTAATGCTCTGTAATAATGTATTAAATAAGTGTAATCTCTGTATTCCTCCCCTCTTCAATCAATGTTTGCCTAAAACAATTTGGTTGAAATAACTATCTCATTTTTATATTGTATTAGTTGTTAAACCACTCAGAAATAATTGCTTCTGTTTGCTGATGATAAAAATGATTTCTTAATATTTCTCGAGTGTTAAAGTGAGACAAGCCCTCTTATTGAATATCTTGCTACTGTTTTAGTGTCTGTTTATAGGGCCACAAAATGCTTATTACATTTGATTTTCTTCAAAAGTTGAAAATTGTACTTTAGTATTTAGCATTTGGTGATATTTTCTTTAATTAAATCCATTTGGAACTCTGTAGGCGGACATGAGACAGAACCTGGGACGAAAATAACTGGTCAAATGATGCCTTGTCCCTGCCAAAAAAAAGCCCGTATTTGCTTAGCATGTAAAGCTACTGCAGTTGAAATGAGGGAGAGAAAAAAGGCACTTACCGCTCTGCCGTAATCCATCCTCGGTCAGATAACGTAAAAGAATGAGGGGGGACTGGCATTGCATTTTTATGCAATAACGATGCAATGCATTATGGGACATGGACGCAATGAATTATGGGATCACATGAAGACGCAAGGAATTATAGGTATATGAACAACTATAAAAGCAACTACTTTTTTCCGAGTCGGGGAGTTCTTCGAGGGACGTTCACGGTTGATGGCAAGAACGGGCAGTTAGTTTGATTTGGAGACAGAACTCAAGAAGGAACGACTCAAGGTTGAAATACCAGCTGGGAGAGCTTGAATTTACTCGCTGGTTACTGTTTTCTTTATTCGCCTCAAACTCTATATTGATCTGTATGGATTTGTACTTTATGACTGAATTTATTTATTTTAGAAAACTTACACCTAGATTATGTATGTTCAAGTTTTGTAAAATCAGTTTTGGGTGCCTAGTTATAAACAATAAAAATGATACAAGATGTTCATAAAGTGTTTGTAAATAATTATAATGTTTTATTTATGGCATGAAAAACAAACATATTTAGAATTAGCTCTTGTAGAGGGCTCTTGATTTGGCCTTCGGCTTGTTCAGGAGTTTAAGAATCCTCAATTTTTTTGCATATTCTCAGCATTGGAAGCTCTCCTGGCTGCCGTTTGATCTGGGTTTTCCTTGCTGCAGCCTTGGCTCTTTTGATTGTAATCTTGTCCTCAGTTGGTGGAGATTTCTTTTTACAAGGCATACTGTTGCTGTATGTAATACGCAACAATAAACTACAGAAGAATTCAAAATTCATCACTGCATTTAAGTATTGAATTAATATTTAAGCTTAAATTTTAAAAATTCAATGATAATTCTTCTACCACCACTTAATTTAAAGTTATAAAATTTGTTATTGTGCAAAAATATTTGTCACAAAAAATCACTAAAAACAATTGCAGTAATGAAAACTTGGGAATCCAAAATTTCAGGATTGCGGGTCCAGATCCAAACTGAAATGTTTTTTAATTTGCTCATGGAGTTGCCCTGATTCCTAAATGGTATATGATGGGCGACAACTTCTAGGAATAAAGTTGGAAAAGTGTGACATACTGACACATTCATTTATTTATATAGACATTAAGCTAAACAGGGAGAGAAGTAAGCTCAAGAAAAAGAATTGGTTTGAGACAACCTGTTTTGCTTCTTATCAAATCTTGATCAAGGATAAAATAAAAAATACATATCGCTTAAAATGAACATGATACAAATGTTAATAATATACTTGTGTGTTATAACATCTGTCTTTACTAAAATGATTGTTAGGAGATGCTCTATAATCCTGTAAATAGGCAATGATATTCTCTCTCTTCCTCTTTTTGGTCTTTTTAACTTTTGCTTCCAATTGTAGAAGAACGTTGATAAAAATGCAGCTGCTGAGGCACATTCGTTTCATTGGCCCTCTTTTGACTTTTGAACTCTCTCACACATGCATATACATATACAAACAAGCATGTTCTTATAACTACTTTTAATGTCTTCCTTTCATTGCAATTGTCTACACTTGTAATTCCTCTTGTTAATAATATGCATTATCAATTGTTTTAGATTCATTATTTTGTGTTTGTAATTTTTACCCGGACTCACATTGAGTCTACCAGTATTGTTTGTAGGATAAATGCTGCAGGAGCCCATAAATATTTGATATCAAAAGTGTTGATTCCTACAATATAATGGTGACTAATATTTCTACACAAAATTACTAGCATCCCACAACATACTAACAAAAATATTTTAGATGCAACTAATATTAAGACCAAGCAGCCATTCCTTCTGTTGACACAGGGAAGGCTGCCTAGACTTCATAAAGTCATCTTGAATTTACTTTTTTCTTCTTTACATCAGTATGATCCATGCAGTTGATTGGTATCCAACATTTGTCCATGTTGCAGGAGGCATAGTTGGTAAGTATTTATTATTTAATTCATATTGTAAAGTATTCCAGTACAGAAAATAGAATTAACGAACAGTGTTTACATTTTGGCCAAGGTTGTTTACATACACTTTGCCCTAATGCCATTATGAAAATTGTGAATCCACTTCACTGCTCAGCTATAGATAAATAGCAGGTCTGAATGGAGACTCTAGGCTTTGGTTGATGACCAGACCAAGAAAGTTCAAACTAGGTAAGCCTTAAAGGTAGGTCAGTGATAGATCTCTATTCTGCCAAATTCTATAAACCAAAAAAAATGTTGATTGTGATGTCTCATTTATGCCTCTAGAAAAGAAAATTACCTTGAGACCCAGAGAGTAGAATTGTTTCTTTTAGTGGCTCTCTCATTTTATAAAAACTTTCACACATAAATTACTATGCAAATTTTCTATCCTGAACAGCTGTTGACATCATCAAAATGATGTTCAAACAAGAAGATTTATTTGTAATTTGATGTTTTTTTTAATTATTTTTTTTTGTTCCATTTACTCTTTTCTTTAGTGGATGATCATGGCACTATGCAGTTTCCTTTTTTATTATTATCTAAGCAATCGAAAAAGGACGAGAAAAATAGGTGCAATGAAAAGCAAGAGAAAAAGTACGAAACAAGTAGGTGCAATGAAAAGCAAGAGAAAAAGTACGAAACAAGTAGGTGCAGTAAAAAGCAAGAGGAAAAGTACGAGACAAATAGGTGCAGTGAAAAGCAATTGAAAAAAGACAAGACAAATAGGTGCAGGGAAAAGCAATCGAAAAAAGGAGACAAATAGGTGCAGGGAAAAGCAATCGAAAAAAGGAGACAAATAGGTGCAAGGAAAAGCAAGAGAAAAAAGACGAGACAAATAGGTGCAGTGAAAAACATTCGTAAAAGGACGTGACAAATAGGTGTGAAAAGCAATCGAAAAAGGACGAGACAAGTAGGTGCAGTGAAAAGCAAGAGAAAAATGACGAGACAAGTAGGTGCAGTGAAAAGCAAAATGAGCGAAAAGGACAAGAGAAAAAGGATCACAAATAGGTGCAGTGAAAAGCAATCGAAAAAGGACAATGAAGACAAGTAGGTGCAGTGAAAAGCAATCGAAAAAGGACGAGACAAATAGGTGCAGTGAAAAGCAATCGAAAAAGGACGAGACAAATAGGTGCAGTGAAAAGCAATCGAAAAAGGACGAGACAAATAGGTGCAGTGAAAAGCAATCGAAAAAGGACGAGACAAATAGGTGCAATGAAAAGCAATCGAAAAAGGACGAGACAAATAGGTGCAATGAAAAGCAATCGGAAAAGGACGTGACAAATAGGTGCCGTGAAAAGCAATCGAAAAAAGAAGTGACAAATAGGTGCCGTGAAAAGCAATCGAAAAAAGACGAGACAAATAGGTGCAAGGAAAAGCAATTGAAAAAAGACGAGACAAATAGGTGCAAGGAAAAGCAATCGAAAAAGGATGAGACAAATAGGTGTGAAAAGCAATCGAAAAAGGACGAGACAAATAGGTGCAAGGAAAAGCAATCAAAAAAGGACGAGACAAATAGGTGCAGTGAAAAGCAATCGAAAAAGGACGAGACAAATAGGTGCAATGAAAAGCAATCGAAAAAGGACGAGACAAATAGGTGCAATGTAAAGCAATCGAAAAAGGACGAGACAAATAGGTGCAATGTAAAGCAATCGAAAAAGGACGAGACAAATAGGTGCAATGAAAAGCAATCGAAAAAAGAAGTGACAAATAGGTGCAATGAAAAGCAATCGAAAAAGGACGAGACAAATAGGTGCAGTGAAAAGCAATCAAAAAAGGATGAGACAAATAGGTGCAATGAAAAGCATGAGAAAAGACATACAAATTCAATGAAAAGCAAGAAAAAAAAAAAGAAGACTAATAGGTTTGATGAAATGTAAAATAAATGTGAAACCTAATAATAAAAATATTAATCCTTTCTGCAAATACGAAGCAACTTTGTGCAAAATGAATTCAATTTCAAACCACAAATGGTTTTTATTTTTAAGATTTCAACATGGATGGTATCAACCAATGGGCCAGTATATCCCGAGGAGCACCTTCTGCTCGTACAGAATTTGTTTACAACATTGATCCTATCAGAGGAAATGCAGCTATCAGGTAAGTTTTTACTTTTATTTTCCTCTCTTCGTTTTCTTTGATTTTCTTCTTTTCATAGCTTTGCTTATATTTTTTTTTTAAATATTTTGTTTATCTGACTTCTTCCATTTATTTTTTATCATACTCATTCATTGTCCTTTCTTGAAGGCTGCTTTAATCCTTCATATTCTTCACTTTGATGAAACCAAAAATCTGTTTAATGATCCAACTTATGCTCTGTCTTTCAGTCTAATTAGGAATATTTTATAGATTTGGAACTTTGGTCTGTTTTCAAAACTATGATTATTCTATGACAGTAGATATCCAAAAATTTCAACTACACAGGAATTGGATTGATCCAACTTTTCCAGATTTGTGTGAAGTACTTTTAAAATTTAAATGCAGTAAGAAAGAAATAAGGAAAGGAAATACATTTTTTTTTTAAATTAATTTTTCATCCAAGGCTCGAGAGTCACTCAAGGTAGACAGTTTCTGTATTGTTTGTATGTGTTTAAGAAGTGGGAGTAAGAATTGCAGTTTATAGTGATATGCTGGAAAGATAATGGTTAACCCTAGACTTGAACAGGTTATAAGTGTAGTGATCAGGAAAGTATCTTCTTGGGAATCTCTTCTACAGAGTGGTGGTTCTTGGAAAGATGCTATCTGAATAGAACTTCCTCCTTACTAATGAAATATGAAAGGAATGAGGATGATTTGACATGGTGAGTCTTAAAACAATGGAACTAATAAATGTAGCTTGTCAGGATATTTGACGTGGAAATAGTGATAGATTTGCAAGGAGCTTGTGTTTTTGCCCGTGGGAGAAGGGTTGTAAGGTAGAAAATAATTCCTCACCCACAAGAATACATAAAGACTTTTGAATGCTTTCAAGACTGGAAAGAAAGGATTGGGCAGCAATATTCCATTTTTGGTCTGATTTTGGTAGTTTATTTGATTATAAAAATAGGGCATGTTCTTTTTACCAAAATGATCATTTTTAAATTATAAAATTTAAATTTCTGTGATGAAGAGTTACTATTATTTACAGTCAGACTAAGGACTTCATCTTTGTTACACTTGCAATGATCTCCAGCCTTCTTCAGGTATCTATTGATCCAGATAACCTTCAGGGAATTATGAACTGAACCCTTTATTTGATCTACAGGGATAGATTGTTCTCCTGCCACTGTCCATGTCTCGGGATATCTCATCTTTGGTTAATTATCCTTTTAGTTAGCTCAGTTAGTCTATCACTATTTTCATGGCAAATATCCTGACAAGCTACATTCCTTAGTGAGTTTCCATTCATATTACCTGCCCCAGGGATTGAACTTACTATACCACAGTAACTGTGGTATAGTCAATTTTGCAAGACAAGCAGAAGTCATGTAATAACAATTCAATAATACGCCTTTGACCCACAAATGATGTATCTTTCCTAACTCTACCCATCCTGGGTATGATGAGAAATTACATCTGCGTCCTGGGTAAGATGATAAACTACGTCCAACAACAAGACCTCTGATCAGAAGGTTTTGAGAAGCCTGAAACCATCTTTTAATTGCTAGTGTTCCCAGGTCCACCCTGACCCAGGGTGGTAGGACCTGTTTGGGTCCCAACTGTAGGCAAATAGTTAACCCTCAAACTGGGGTCAAAGCACTATGAAAGTGTAAAAATAGGTTTTAATACCAGAAATACTTTGTAAAAAAAATTACCAACAATACATTTTTGAAGAAAAAAATATTATCAGCTATACATTTTTTGAAGGAAAAATATTACCAGTAATAAAAAATTTATCGGCATTAAATAATCCATTGAAGTTGATATGCCATAAAACAAAACAAAGCAACCAATCTCCTAAGTCTACAGTATCATCAACTGTTAGAAGTTTAAACTATTATTAAATTAAAATGCCACATGTAATGCCAACTGTAGTCACCTGGTGAATAATTTTGGCAATCACATGAAATTCAAATGCTTGTTTGTAATATTGTCTGGATTAAAAGAAGTACTGGACCATCAATTGCCAGAAAATTGGCAGTGTACCTGTAATTGGTCAACTTTAATAAATCTGAAATTTTTTCCATATAATGTGCCATGTATCTTGTAATATCTGCAGCTTTTAATGTTGTTAGTACAAAGGGAACAACTATCTCAAATGCATTGGTCACACCAAGTGGCAATGACTTTGTTAAAACAATAGTAAACTGTTTGATGACTATATAAAGAAAGGATCATCTTTGTAAAAAATTTCCCATCCTCACCACGAAAATCATAAGAATGAGGATTGGAGAATATTTTGTGTATGGATGTACATATAGGTAAACTATTATACAGTGTAACCCGGATATAAGAGAGTTGTCGGGACCGGAGAATAAGTCTCTTATATCCGGGTTTGGTCTATTTTGTTTACATTAACACAGGCTCTAATTTGGGACCAGAGAAAATCTCTCTTATATCCGGGTTTCTCTTATATCCGGGTTACACTGTAATTGCTTTATACACAGATATTTTGCAAACTGTATGGTTCATCAGTGATGTCTGTTCTGGGGACGTAGAAAGTTTCAGGCCTCCATGACATCAGACTTTCTCACCTGAGAGTGATCATTTCTTCTTTCTTTTCTTTTTTTACAGTATGGTTTGCCTTGTACAAGGCTTAGAGTGCACTCAAGGTAGAGGGTTATGTTAAGGGATAGTTTATACAAATAAGAGGGGAGGATAATGTTTAACTCTAAACTTGAACAGGTTAAAATTGTAGTGATCAGGGAAACATTCTCTTGGGAGTCTGTTCCACAGAGCAGCTGTTCATGGGAAGAAGCAGTTCAAGTGGAACTTATTTCTCACTGATGGAATACAAAGGCAATGTAGGCAGCTTGCTATAATGTAAGTGGCATGGCAGGTCATAGACATGAAAGTTAAACCTGGCAGAATGAAGGAATTTAGTTCATCCAAGCACTTTCCATAGAAGTAGTGTCTGACTAGCATTCTGGTATAGTGTCCACATAATTGCAAGAACTGTAAACCACATTTGTGACTATGTAAGTGAGAATCTTTTATTCAATTCTGACCAATTGGGATTGGTTGTATTTTTCTTCTGAACATTGGTGTTTTTTGGCCAATCAGAGGGGTGGATTCTATTTTGCCCTTTTGACCATTATTTAAAGTACTCATTCAGAATGATGTTATAATTTAAATAATAATAAAATGCATATCAGAACTTAAGAGAATTATTTTCTTTTCTTTTTTTTTTTTGTTTTTTTCTTTAAAGCAAGTTATTGATATTTATTTTGTTAATAGATGAGTTTGTTAATTACCTTTTCCTTTCAGGGTGGGAGATTTCAAGTTAACTGAAGGTCGCCCAGGAAAGTATAATGGCTGGTACCCTGTGCCTACAGTGGATGACGGTGAACCAATTATTGAATATGATGATGATGAGCTCCTAGATGAAGACTGGGAGCTAGATGAAAATATAAACAGGAGACGGCATCATCATCACCACCATCATCATCACTACAAAGACAAGTTGTTCAACATAAAAAGTACGTCCAACTTTGTTTCTTTCTTACCCGCATGCTACAGAGTCTGCGGGTGGCCTAACGGTTATCTACAGAAAAGGGCATGGCTGAGCAAAGTTCATATACTGGATGGCATATTTTTTGATTTTATTTTATTTTGCACTAATGCCCTTGAGAAAGGAATGAATCCATTTCTTCTCTCTCTAGCTATGAGTTAATAGCAAGTTAGCCATGGTTGGTGACCAGTCTAGAAGGATAACCACTATCGTTCCCAATAAATATCATGGCACTGCACAATTTATACATATTAAGTGAAATATATCAAGTTTTAAAGAAAAAAAAATATGCAAACATTAATTGGACATTTAACTTAAGCAAAGCATTTAGTACACTAGTGTGTCACTGAAAACTTTGTGGTCAAAATTTTGACCTAGAAAATTCTGTTATAATAAAAAATGAATATAATTTACTCCTATGGAACAGCATTGAAAGTGCCATGATCTGGTTTATAAGTTCCCTAGGACTAATATACACCTGGGCTATTTCTGTTTATCGCCTGTTCTTGCTAAATTGAAACTGTAACAATGTGGGATATGTAAGCCTTGAGAAATAAATAACTCAACTTGAAATTAGTTAAAATCTAATTTTTCTAACAATACATTTGAAGTAAAAATCAAACAGAGAGCACTTTTATGTGAATCACATTTTGTCTTGGTTCATTAGTTGGTCGGTTAACGGCATATTAACTCCTTATGGGTCATTTATATACTGAAATTTAATTTAATTTTCTTGGAAGCTTTGAAGTAATAAAAGTGTTATTCTGCTTTCACAATTGAATACATGGTAGATGATACGCAGCTTTCGTGCATTTACAAGTGTGGATATGATTTAAGGTGGTGATATGCATGTTTTATGTTATAGTTCTATTTTGGAATACAGTTTGATTTAAGAAGTTGTAGGTTATTATATGAATTTAGTTGTTTAATTTTGTTTAGCAGCATATCAACACCTCTATGGGTTATTTAATGCCAAAATCTAAATTTGAACTCAATTTTATGGCTTTGACTAAATATATTTTGAACGCAATTTTATGGCTTCAACTATATATAAATATGTATTGTTGGTAATTTTGCAATACTTATTGGTGGTAATTTTACTATAAATAGGTATTTTTATACTTTCAGTGTTTTGTTTTTGTTTGGGGATGTTACTATTTGCCCATAGCTGGGACCCTAACAGGTGCTACCACCCCGGGTCAGGGTGGACCTGGAAACAACAAAAATTAAGTGATGGTTCTATGCTCTTCAAAACCTCCCATCTCTTGATCCTATTACTGCCGAAGCAAGTTCAATCCTCACTAAGGGTACCAGAATACGGTTTTATACAAAACTAAGATTACCAAATCTTTATGAACGTCTTAGCATGGTATAATGTCTTGTTTTGCATATTATTGCTAGTGAATTAGATTCTCGGTGGGTGACCCATACTCGTGGCCTTGTACATAAAGATGCCCTACAAACAAGCCACGTATGTGTATTGTTGGTTGGTTTATTTTGTTTAGCGGCATATCAACAACTCTATGGGTTAGTTAAGGCCGAAATCTAAATTTGAACTCAATTTATATGGCTTCAACTAAATATATTTTGAATGCAATTCAGCTACAGATAAAATGTATTGTTGGTCATTTTACTATAAATATGTATCTTTGGTTGGTTGATTTTGTTTAGTGGTATATCAACACCTCTATGGGTTATTTAATGCCGAAATCTAAATATTCTGAACACAATTTTATGGCTTCAACTAAATATATTTTAAATGCAATTGTATGCCAACTATAGGTAAAATATATTGTCAGTCATTTTTATATAAAACCTATACTTTCATAGTGTTTTTCTTTGTGGGGTTCATTATTTGCCCATAGCTTTAATCCTATTACCCCAGGTTAGGGTAGACCTGGGAACAACAGCAATTAAGAGGTGGTTACAGACTCCTCAAAACCTCCAATCTCCCAATCAAATGCCTTGCTGCTGAATGTAGTTTATCATCATACCAAGGACACCTGGTTCATCAGCAAGACATGCCAAAGTAAAAATTTTCCAAATTGGCTTATATATGTATATATTACAGTGCATTAATATAGACAAAAGGACAATGTTTATTTACCAGCACATTTCATCTTCTGATGGTCTTTCTCAAGGCAAATGTAAGAATTTTATTTTGTAACAGAAGTAAAAATATTGTTAGATTTTCAAATTTTTTAAGTTTAAGAGATACTAATAAATATACAAGGCTAACTTTATTCACATTGTCTTTGTAAAGATATATTTTATTTATATCTGAATTTTTACACATTATTATATATGCATAGGCTTACAGCCACATCATTTTGAAACACTGGTTTGCATACAATCACCAAAGTTAAGCAACATCAAGCTTGGTCAATACCTAGATGGGTGACCACTTGCGAATACTAGGTTCTGTAAGCTTCAATATGCAGGTGGTATAATGGATAATGGCTTGGTATTGTTAATCAAAGAGTTGAGTTTCAGTTCCTGTTGAGTTCTTTATATTCACTTAAGCACAAATACCCTTGTGAAAGGCATGAAACCATCTCTCCTCCCCCAGTTATGTGTTGATTAGTAAGACTTTTGTCACTAAATTATTGTTATCTCAAAAAAATTCTTAGAATCTAAAAATATTTTCTGGTTTTAAATAACCTGCTTTACAAGCTATAAAAAATAAGTAATCATTCAATCATTACATATGTATATATGTACATATATTCTTACATATGTCAACCTTTGTGGGAAATGACAGTTCATCAAGGTTATAACCAGTTTGAAGATGACAAAGTAGAACATGTTAGGTTAAGCACAATTTCTTGTAAAGGTAATCTTGAAGTGCTACTTTCCACCCTAATCTTACAACATGTATGTAGTTTATGTGGCAATTTTGCTCTTAGAAAGGTCTTCAAAGTCAGCTCAGGTCTTGTCAGGCTTGATCCTTTGAAAGAAGCCAGAAATCAATCCTTGTGCTTTCTTGTACACTCTGCTATAAAGTATCCAAGTCAGCTTCTGGATTAACAAGAATTAATATGAAAATTCACATTGATGCCGTTCCTGTTGGGTTTGGGGATCTCAATTTCAGGTGCAACATTTGCACAAAAGCTTGTAAAAGTAAGGCTGGTTTAAAGTCATCCATGCTCTAATGGTCGGTGAGTCTGAAAGTTTAAAAAAAAAAAAATGTAAGAAATTTGTTGTAGAGATGATCTTCTTCTGTGAAGAAGTGACAATCATCATTATTATATACTATGTTCTGTGAGCATATATTATGTCTAACCATCTTCACTTCAAGTTTGCTTCATCAACAATCTTTCATAAGCCATTATAATCGGGAAGTGCAAGAGAAGAAGCTGTTGGAGTAGAAGATTTATCTACATTTAACCATTTCAACAGTGAAAGGGTGGGACCGAGATGCCAAACTATTAGCACGCTTAAATTCATGCAGTTGCAGTACCAGTGAAAGTAGCTTGTCAGAGCAGTTGCTATGAAAATATTTGTAGAAAAGACAGAGGGAAGCCACATCACCTCTGTGAGAAAGTGACAGTAGACGAGATGCCAGACCATATACGGCAACAGTATTCAATATTCAATGCAAAGACGACGAATTGTAGATTTGAAGAATGGACTCTGGTGAGAAAAACTTTCTGGTGTGACACAGAAAACCAACTTTCCTTGCGGTAGATGAAGCTATAGATTCAATTTAGTTGTTTCACGTTAGGTCAGTGGAAAGCATAAGATCAAGTGGGTGCAGAGAGATGCTCTTGTGGAGTTTGGCAACCATTCTGATAGGAGGCAAATATATAAAATAATGTACAAAGTAAGCAACTCCTAAAGGAATATACCACAAAGGCACAATGGGGGTAAAAACAGTCAATACTTTTCCACAAAAAGTAGTTGCTGTCTACCTGCTGATTATGTGAAAATGCATGAAACTTTTAGTTGGGATCAGTCAGGGAAGTTCTTCAGAAAATTATATTACTGCTCTGCCATTAAATATGGTATTGACTGTTTTTACCCCCATTGTGCCTTTGTAGTATATTCCTTTAGTAATATCAACCAATCTAACCAAGCTTTTAGAGAAATACCGTCATTATTACTTTTAGTGTTTCTCTTAGCACATACCAGAGAACAAATATTACAAGACAGTGAAGTCAGAACTATTTTTAAGAAATGTTTTCACGACAATGGTGTTCACCCTGGACAAGGCCCTGGATCCACTCAAGGTAGAGGGTTACAGAGTAAGAGGTACAACTTATGCAGATATGTGTGGAAGATTACAGTTAACCGTATATTTGAACAGATTAAGATTATGGCGATCTGAGAAGCAGCCTCTTGGGAGTCAGTTCCACAAGGCAGCAATTCCAAATTGCTCAAAGAAAAAAATAACTTCTGAAGAAACTGATCCTTGATATATTTCATCTTGAACAACACAACAGATTAAAAAAAGACTTTATATGAATAGCTGTTACTTAAAATATGTCCTGATACCCAAAACAAAATGATGTAGTCTTTTAGATTGACAGCACTTATGGGTGCATATTTGTACTTCAAATAACCTGAGAAAGGAAGAAGTTTAATTACACTGGGGTGTCATGTGTATGATAGAACTATATCATCTATAGTAAATGGCTTTGTTATATCTATCTAGTCTCAATATTTTTTTTTTACAGTGGTGTTCACCCTGTACAAGGCCCTGGAGCCACTCAAGGTAGAGGGTTACAGAGCAAGAGGTACAGCTTATGCGGATATGTGCAGAAGATAATGAGTAAACCTAGACTTAAATAGGTTACGATTGTAGTGATTGAGAAGCAGCCTCTTGGAAGTCAGTTCTACAAGGCAGTAGTTAGTGAAAAGAAGCCGGCCGAGTGGAACTTACATCTTACCAGGGGGATATGAAGGAAATGATGTTGGTTCACTACAATGGTCGTGACATGGTGGGTCTTAGCTGTTTAGATTAAGACT